CTCGAGAACTGAGCCGGGTTTTTATAGAAATTTGTCATTGACTGTGGATTCGGCTAAAAACTTCCATCCAGGGGTAGTTCGACCCGTAGAAACAAATATCACATTCGTTCGCCGCTAGAGCGCCTGACGCTCGCGCCAGAAGCGCCGGCGCCAAGAGGCGCCAGAACATCTCGGATCACCGAAATTCGCTGGAACTTGTCTTCAGAGGTACTTTGACCCGTAGAACATGAATATCACATTAGTTCGTTGCGAGTGAGCCTGTAGCCTGCGCTACGGGCGCCCGCGCAAAACTGTTGTGATAGCGCCGGCGCCTGTGGCGCGGGCGCCAAGCGTTGTCGCGCTAAACCGGTGTGATATTCGTGTTCTACGGGTCGAAATACCCCGGAAACAACTTTCTAGCCAAATCCTTAGTCATGGACGAATTTCGATCAAAATCCGGCTCAGTTCTTGAGGAGTGGGGCAGTAAAGGGTAAATAGTGCCAAAAGCTGCAATTTTTTCAGAGAATTTTTGAAGTCAGGCTGAGTTCCCTCAATAGGACACGCCCTAGAAAACTGAGCCAGAAACGCGAGACAAATTTGATAAAGGATGATAGCATATTGACAAACATATCGTTAAGACATTTCCTTTTTGTTCCTTTTTGTTTCAAAACAGTGATCTCACGAAACCCGAGTTGTCTGGATTATGAGGGGTGTATTCTCAACATAGAAACCCGTTGCAATGCAAAAATCGAAAACGTGGTTCAAAATTTCAGAAAATACGTAGTAAAAAAGTCAAAGTTGAATCAAGGGAAACAAAATTTAAAAGAAAAGATGCAGCAGTCTGACAGTGGAGCTACCCCCGCTGGGAACCAACAACTCTAACATGGCAGCATGTTAAGCAATAAACAACAAAACAAACAACAAGTTGAAACAGCGAGTTCGCCATACCGATAACGCTCGTTTCCCAAGCGTTTGTTATGGGATTTAGGGCGCCGAATGTTTTTTAGAAAGCTTGAGCAAATCGAGACTCAAACTCACCTGTGGGAACAGCTCCGTATGATACGCCATTATTCCTTGCTCCGAGGACCATCTGACGTAGGGGTTGTACCTAAAAAACTATCCTTTCAGCACATCACCAGGACAAGGTGTAACGTTTTCATAGAATATCACACCAAATTATGAGGCCAATGAAGTGAAGCTACCAAATCGAGAATTGGAATCTTCAAAGAGAATTACATCAGGGCTCTATACAAGTGGGGTGGGCACGCCAGCTTTTCACGCATGTCAAGTGACTGCCCTCACCCCCCACCCCCTAGATTGGCTACACTCCCCCTGGCTCACGAATTCCCCGATTCTCGTGACAGTATAGTAGCGGCAGCAGTCCCACTTACATACATTTCTGTTCAAAAAATGCGGCGTGCCCACCCTACTTGTATAGCACCTACATTAGTTCTAACGAAGGATAATTAAGGGGTTGATATTGATAAACCTTGCCAACGTCACACAAAAAGAGACGAAGCTAAAAAAGATTAAGGTGAAACCAAACTAGTGTTGCACATGGCACACAGCAGGACTAGACGGAAGTGCCAGTGGCCAGGACCAACCGTAGGTCAAAATCATGTCCTCCGTTTTCTCGAATCGACCAGCTCATTTGTTGGGGAGGTCAGGATACAATCCATTGCTCGCTTCGAAACCAATCTGCAATGATTTATTTTGTGAACCCGTTCTTGAGATCTCAAAGAAAGTAGAGTTTTGAGGATAGTGGGATTTTAGTTCCCGCTGGGGAGGCTTAAAATACTGGCCAAGCGGAAAACAGCACTTTACGAAAAAAAGCCAAAAATCTAGATCGCGGTTGCTGACATCTGAATTACCGCCAAAGGCGTTCATTCTACACAACTCCAACGACAATCCGAATGCACCTTAGTACCTCTACATCGCAGTGGCCTAGTGGAGGGAAACAAGTTGGTTTGGCCTGGACCACCGAAGGTGTGTGGGGTAACCTCCGTCGCACTATTCGCAACGAGGAAGTTGATTTGTGATTTTGCCGGAGGACAGAGGGGGAGGGAATTAGGGGCTCGATGCAAGGTGACTGTACCTCTGCAAAGTGTGCAATGGCGGGGTTTCTACTTAGCGGGTATTCTCGACGAGTGGCGAAGAGTAGCGGTGAATGTAAACAAAATTGGGTGTAAGAGTTCATGACATTTACTCCTTTTCTCAACTCGACGGCCGTCTTGGTAGAAAAGTGCGCGGAGTTCGATGTTCCAATGGGTCTCAGAATCCAGAATTAAATACTAAAGAAAGAGTCATTATGGTGAGGGTGGCTATCCGGGTAGGGAAAACGGGTGCCGTATTAGGCCGAGCCTTTCTATTGATCCTCAGCGTAAGATTGGCTGGTGGAGGGGAGAGCAGCCATTATTGTGAGAGCTGGTAATCGGGCGTAGGAGGATGGGTGTGGGCCCCTAAATCCGGAAGACTGAGGGTAGGGGTGGGAGGAAACGCATCGAGACCCCCTAGAGGGGGTAGGGTCGCCAAATTTTTGAAAAAGTACGAATGCGGTCGGTTACCCCGGTGCAGAATTCTATGTTGCCACTTCAGCCACTCTAATGATATGGCATATAATCTTTCGACTATGAAGAAGGCTTATGTTTTAGAAGTATTGCTCAACTCCTGCCGCTCCATCGACTGATTCTCAATCGTTTTTGTAAGCTATCAGCCTTAGTACCCTAAGAAGGTAATATTCCTAAAGCATTTCCACTCCCTTTGCATTTCTATCAGAATAAATCATGAGTAATGTTTGGTCCTTTCCACCCTGCCAAAGTTCAAGGCAGTTGTCATCCATGTTCTGTGTAGCTACAGTCCATACTTCCCCGTCCGGATTACCCGACAGGAGGCCCGTCGCGCAGCGAGAAGGCGGAGTCAGCGGACGAGTCGCAGGCGCTGTACTGTAGTGATTTCGCTTCGAATTAAATAGAATTGTAGCATTGTACGTCCTACACTGCACATCACACGCTGCGACTCGTCCACTGACCCTGCCTTTTGGCCGCGCAACGGGCCTCCTGTCGGGTACCCTACGCTGAGTATGCCTCCGTCGATTTAACGTGGCTGCCTGCGTATTTGATAGAAGTCTCGTGAGAAGCTGTTTTGAGCATCGCTCTGCGCACGTTATCATAAACTTGTCCCATTATTGACCGCGGTCTGAACCATGTCTTTCACTTTTAAGGCTCGCATAGGCTCACATTACAAATTGGGCTTCGAAAAGTAGGCATCGAGGGCATCGCCGGCGCTATCGCTGAATACGGGGGCATCCTCTGTGACTAAGCCTAGGAGGGGGCAGGAAGTTCGAAGAGAATGAAGACTGAGCTAACCATAAGACTCAGGTTGCATGTTATACTCCCGATTCTAACGAGACGGAGATCTTTCACGCAGTCTGAAATGTGTTGTCACCACAATGCCCCCGTTTATTGCGATAGCCCTGCGCTGCCTTTACTATTGGTCTTTTCACGCACCTAATCAGGTGAACTTTTCAAGAGACTATCGTGAGTTCTGAGACCAAAAAAGACGTGCAAGGAGAAAACAGACTGCTCCACATATTAGTTTACGTATAGATGAAAATGAATGAGAATAAACACATTGTGGACGTAAACACCGTCCTTAGTTGATTATCATGCAGTATATAAAAGGAGCGCGAGGTAGGCAAAAAACTTCATTTAATACGTTACATCACAAACTCACGTCTTCTAATTGAGCAGGAGCTATGGCTCAAGAGTTGATTCAACTTCAGCCAGGAATGCAGAGGAAAAAAAAAAAAAAAAAAAAAAAAAAAAAAAAAAAAAAAAAAAAAAAAAAAAAAACCTGAAGCAGATGTCCTCCGCAGTTATGCAGTTGGCTTATTGAGCGGTTCTAACAGGTGGAGAGATGGACGATCGAGAAGAAACTGGGTGAAGGTGGTTTCGGTGCCGTATATCGGTGTCGAGATGGCACTGGTCAATACGCGCTTAAAGTTGAAGGAGTGGCCGAGCAGATTCAGGTTGGTGTCACAGGTTTCTTCAGAATCCACTCTGCTGACCGACCTGCAAACCGACTGCAGCCTGTCTCATTCCCACTTGAAACAGCTCAAATTGACCTTAGAAAAAGCTCAGCTTATTGCAGGTTTTGAAAATGGAAGTCTACGTGCTGACAGAGTTGACAAAACGTGGCTCACGACATTTCTGCAGAATTGAAGACAAGGGAAGATACGGGAATTTCAATTATGTGAGTTATCTGAAGAGAGCACAACGTGGGACGACACGATGGCGTCCCTTTTTGGGCGCTCATGGCTTGGGGGGAGGGGCATTCAAAAGAGGGCCTGTGGTACGTTACACTAGGACTAAGCTCAGGAGCGGGGAGAAACCCCAGGGAGAGCACAAGTTCCTCACATCTCCCAGGATGAAAATCGGTCGAGGATACGTCGGCGACTCGAAAATTTTTGCCTATATGCGCTCTCTCGCGCGGTCATTCACCCAATCATTCTTATACAGTATAGAGCCACTGTCAGGATTCCCTCGACCGTTACTCACCCTGCATCCTCCCTGAGGCTCAGCCCCAAGTACTACAAGTGGCTCACTCACTTGAATGCCCCCCCCCCGCCTCAGCACCTTGAGCACATGAGCGCACCTTTTCGATTGTATTTACAGGTGGTTATGACCCTTGTGGGTAAATCGCTACAAGATTTAAATAGGGGAGGACCTGGAGGGCACATGACGATCGGATGTGCGATTTCATGCGGAATCCAATGCTTGGAAGCTCTTGAAGGTTTGCTTATCATTATCTAGTCTTCAATCACTTCATTATGTAAACCAGAACTTTGGTGTGTCGGTTTGTCGGTGTGTGTGTCGTTCTGTCCGTCCGGACCAACCGCTCACAAAACCAGGGAGTACGAAACACTTCGAGATGTTGATGTCATGATCATGATAACACCCACAGCGGCTATATAAACACCGATCGAGCACACTCAGTCTCATTCTACATGGTGCTGCCGTGGCAGCTGGGATGGGGGAGGCAGAAGGGGGGGGGGGGGAGGGAAGAGAATAAGGGGAAGGAGGGGGAGAAAGGGAGGGCAGGGGGAAGAAAGGGGATGGCCAGGAGGGGAGGGGGAGGGAAAGAGGAAGGGAGTGTACCGGTTTCAAGATTACGACTCGATCAGGTATTGAGATATTATTGCAACGTGACTGTGATAATACCCCAGCGGCTATATAAACATCTACTCAGAAGACTTTCAGTCATTTCACAAGGTTCTGCGGTGGAGAGCAGTGGGGAGAGTGGGAGGATAAGGTGAGGAGGAGAACACTAGGAAGTGAGAGTCCGGCGCTTGCCGGGGGACCAATCAGATGGTGGAATAGGAGGTCTTTGAAAATGCCGTGATGGACGAGGTTTTGTAAATAAAAAGTTGATGATGTTTCCGCCGCAAATGAGATCTCTACCTTAACGAATCGTGCAGAGAATAAGGAAATTAATCGCATGCGAGACTTCACATGTACTTTGATTCTGAGAACCAGATGCGAATACCGCGCATCGAGTGCAAAACCTGACACCATAGTGAACAACGGCCTCCAAGTAAATCTGCGCTACCAGTGGCCTCAGGCGGTATAGTTGTATGGGGTAGATAACGTATTTTTGCAACACAACGAAGTTATTACGTACTAGCCATAAGTGGCTAAGTATGCCTGTCTGTGTGTGTCTGTCTGTCTGTGTGTGTGTGTCTCTGTCTGTCTGTCCTGTCACGGCAGCACGCAACGCGAGAGGGGGACGCGGGCTATGCTGCTCGAGGGAGCAGTGCAGTGCGAGAGAGCACGCGCCAGACGGCGCGAGAGAGCATGCAATGGGAGAGAGTCGGGGTTTGAGGCGTAAGGGCGAGGGAGTGCGCGCTGTGGGAGAGCCGCGTTTGCGAGCGTTAGGCTAAGGCCGATGTCAGACTTGCGAATCGCGCGCGATTCGCAAAGGCTGACATCGCTTAAAGTGATGGGGGGCCGCCTGCACTCTGCGCCGAAGCGGAGAGCGGGATGTCGTGGTTGCGCCCATTTCGAAAATGCCAACGGCAGAATGGAGCGCGCGGTAGTGTGCTTGCTGCCTGGTAGAATATAACCGCAACCGGTCAATCATTATATTGGTAGAGACGATTTACATTTTGTGGACGCAGTCGTCACTTGTGGTGTGTGGTCTGCACACGACACGCATCTGGTTTGCGAAAGCAGATGATGCAATCTTGGCAGTCTCTAAGAGCTCACGTTGAAGATCAGCGATGTGAGGAGCGCAAAAGGAAGGATGCTATAATCGATACCGATGACCTGATAGTTCAATCCATTCCATGAGGTGGAGGAAGAGTCGTACAAATTGTTTACCCCTGTATTCAAATGCCTGAACATGGACAAAAATTGCTCTTCGCAACCCGTTTCGTCATACGGTAGGAATGAAGAAAAAGAGGTCTAGTACGACAATTTCTTGTACTCTTGCAAACACAGCTTCTGCCAAAATAAAACACATTGGACTGTGGACATCATTATTCACTGAAAAGTGTGGGCCGCAGATCATGCAGACGTGAAAAACAACGGGATGAGGGGCCTCCTAACCTCTCTGCATCACATTTGTTCTAGATCTTCATAATATCGGCTATCTTCATCGTGATGTGAAGCCCGGTAACTATACAATAGGACGTCCTGAACTTCAGGAGTTACGTAAGGTGTACATCCTTGATTTCGGTATGTGCAGAAAGTTCACAAATGATCAGGTGGGTATAGCTGCAGGTGCTGCAAGTCGTTATTCCGTCCTGTGAAAGAAGCAATGCTTGTGTGTTGTAGGGAATTATCCGCAAACCACGACAAGCGGCAGGGTTCCGTGGGACCGTGCGTTATGCTCCAATATCCTGCCACCTTCAAAGGGAACTCTGCAGGTACAGTTTGGATGGCAAAAACGTCATAAAGGGCTCAGAACTCGCAACAAATTGTGAAAATTTATAAGTGACCTCAGCCAGGGATTTTGTTCTTTCACGCTAATTGACTACACCGGCACCTTGTTCCTTCCGCGGGTCGCGCTTATCTTAGGGTATGCCTCACGGGTGAATTTTGTAAGATTTCCGAAGAGTTACCTTAACATGGCATTTGTTCCATTCATAACACACCCTTGATGCGTCGGCGCTTGTTGCCTTTGAAGGCGGAGATTTTGATGGAAAGGCAGCTCACTAGAAATCGAGTAAGAGGTATTCGGTGATGCAGGATTGAAGGAAAGCCAAGAAAACGGCCCAGAACCCGAGAAATGGTATCATTTTTGCCCGCTGATTGACACCTCAGGCGTGTCCCAGCAATATGGGGAAGCTCGGGGTTCACTTCAGGGTCATGTCGTAGTTTCTCGCTCTTTCTATTCGCTAATCGGCCTCTGATCACCACCTTCGAGTGAGAGTCAAGGGTACTTTGATACCGTCCCTGGTTATTTTTAGTCACATGGTAGTGAATTTTAAGCAGCAGGGTGTTATGTAAAATGAATTGTTTTCGCTAGGCAAAACTTTTCACGCTGCGACGTGGTGTTATCAAATTTTTTTCAGGAAGGATGACTGTGAGACATGGGTATACATGCTGGTTGAATTCACATACGGCCGTCTCCCATGGAAAGAAATTCAGGACATGAATCAAGTTCGTGGCAGCTGCGAATGTTCCATAGCTTCGTACTTCTCCTTTGTCCGCTCGCATCTCATCGACGAGTGCAAGTGTCCTATCCTTTGCCTGTTTCCCTCACCATCAGTTCTAGTTCTTAATGTGGGGATAGGAATTAAGTCCATAACAACAATTCCCTTTCAGAAAAGGAAGGGGTGAGCTGGACGAGTTGTACGAAGGTGCCTGCTCCATGGCTCAACTGGCTCGCGCATATCTGAAGTAGGCGCTGTGCCGTAATCCTCCACATTGGGTGCCATGGGGCGTGCCGCACGTATCCGTCCCAAATGCTATGCTGCCTAATGTCGCGCACGGTTTCGAGCAAGCTCAACAGCACATTTTGTGGCTGGGCGTGGGCTACTTTCCTTTGCACGGGATAGATGTGTTCGATCACCGACTGTTTCTGCGCGGGTTGGGGGGGGGGGTTTCAAGACATCTAAAGCCCCATATTGGACCAGTGAATGCCGTGGTTAGTAGTATGGAGCTGTTTTGAAGGGTACGCGATGCATGCATGCACTGTTAAATCCTACTGTGCAAAAATGAATTCCCTTCAGCGTTGGACGTGTTCGTTCGCAAGTGGTTTCTATGCTTTAGTGCCACGAAGAGGCGGCATTGTGCAGTTTGTGATATTTTCCCCAGATGCGGGAAGCATCAACGAGATGGCCTTTGAAAGGACCTCTGCTGAAGAGTACAGCATCTCTTGGGAGGTGTAAGGACGAAAAGGGAAAGGGTCACTGTTGAAAATTAGTCCATTGTTAAAAACAACGAAGATCTAGCAGAGGGAATATAGATTCAGCATGAACCATTACTCAAAACACGATCTACCCCCCCCGGCAGTCTGACGAGGTGTGTGACTAAGAGATTGTAAGGACCCAAGCAGGGTCAACCGTTACGTTGGACCGATATTGGAGCGACGTTGGACCGATGTTCACCGCTCTCCGCGCCGGCATTCACTCTCGCCACCCGCGAGCCGTCTGTGTCTCCGTGCGTACGTTCACTCTCGGCATTACTCTCGTCGTCGCGTTGGACTTTGTCCAACGGACGGTTGACCCTGGACCCTGCCCGGACCATGGATGGAAGGTTGTAAGTGAAGTCATGAATTTCCAGTTCGTACATGACCTAAGTGTAGCAGATGGCATGGGATCCTTCAGCTTTCAGGTGGGCGAGTACAAAAAGCGCGTTCGTCAGCCTATGTACATCATGGAGCTGTTTCCACCGCCCTGCCCACGAGAGTACATTGAGATACTGCAATATATCGACGGACTGAAGTATTACGACGCACCCAACTATCAGTTTATTTACGGAGTAGGTTTCAGCATTTCCAAAATCACTTTCTTGCTGGCTTTTCCAACGTGAAAAAACTAAAGGATTCTCATACACGCATTCCAATGCCAGTGAACAATATCATTATTATAAACTGACTCTTGTTCAGACTATGCGGCGGGCTCTGGCATCTTGTCGAGCGCAGGAGTTTCCTTACGACTGGGAACCAGGAGGACCGACAGCTTACATACTTCATTAGGCTTTTTTATCAGTCTTGTGATAATGAAGTTTTTAAACAGTCCTGAAGAATAATCTCACTTTAGCTAGTTTTAAGAAAAGGGGTGCTAGACGAAGATTGAAAAGATTTTGTGAGCATCTGTTAACTCAGCTACAAGATCCCTTAGAAGACCTTCCTCATTTATCGGAAGTCTCAGTACCGAATACGAAATTTCTGATGGCGAGGTCCGAGTTCCCCGAAGAAAGGAGAGAGATTTCAGATGGTCAATGGCATTACTCCTTTCATTTCTATACGTTGTTCAGAAGAACAGGTCCCCAATGAAAGTGACTTTGGCTTTAGCGCTCAGAAAATGAAGAAAAGAGATGGGGAGACACATCTTCAGCCTGTAAAGAGAAGCAGTATGAAATCGTTGGTAAATCTAAAGGGGGCCCTCTCTGTGAAGTCTGTGAAGAAGCTCATATCTCGAAAGTCTTACTGTCTGATTGGGCGTGTCACCGGAAATGACGTGGCAGCCACCGCACTTGATAGATGTCGTGTGGATAAAATACTCCGCCAGATATCAGCAAAGCGTGTTGGAAGCAGCTTATCCGCGCAACTTCTATCAAGTGCGGTGGCTGCCACGTCATTTCCGGTGACACGCCCAATCAGACTTCGAGATATGGGCTGTAGGTGCGCATGAGGAGAAGACACTGGGCACCAAGGAGAGAGATAAGGCAAGAAAATGTGTCGGCAAGAGAGCCCAGACACTCGGACGTTGCACGTGCTCTTTTAAAGGACGAATTCACGATGAAAAAGCAACCCATTTCAAATTAACCTAGGGATGGTGAGTGGTACACGAAAGAAGGAAGAACCATGAGAAACGGCCCAGAACCCGAGAAATGGGACCCCTTCCTTGCCCGTTGATTTGAGCATTGATGCGACTCTCATCGCTGTGCCCTCTTCAACACTACGCTCTCTCAGCTATCTAATCACTCGCCACGTATAGAACTACGGCGAGTGATCAGATGATCGGTGGGCGGAGATCGCCGGACCCGCCAGCTTTGAGGCATGATAGGTCGCCGAGGTCAAATTTTTCCATGCGAATTGCGCGTCAGTTCGCACCCTCAGGAGGTCCGTGGGTCCCTCAACTAGGTCAGTTTCCCTTTCTTCGACCTTCATTCTAATCGTGAATTCCTCCTTTAAGCAAGGTCCTAAATTCTTCTTCGCCCATTATCGAGCCGTAGTAACCTTCGTCTTACCTTTTCGGGATTTATTCACCTGAGTGCGTCGTGAGATGTGCCTTTGAGGGTGTATTTTCGACCGAAAAATCATACCAACTTCAGAGATGCCAAAAGATAAAGAGGATAGGATGATAACATACCCTCCCTTTCAAAAAACGAGAAAGCGTCGGGTGCAGACCATACACCACAAGTGACGACGGCCTCCAAGTAAATCTGGTTAGTAGTGGTTCATAGTGATAGCTGATTTTTGGTAAATGATAGTTGTAATTAGTGACAACTGATAGAATACAACTGCAACAGGCTAATCATTTCATTGGCAGAAAACATTTACATTTTGTGGAGGCCGTCGTCACTTGTGGTGTATGGTCTGCACCCGACGCTCTTCTCGTTTTTTGAAGGGAGGTATACTCGATATCGCAAGTTGGGGTGGGCGTGTCACCGGAAGTGACGTGCACTTG